ATAACCCTGAGAGCACTCCAGATTGACTTGTTGTCTCCTGCTGAGTCTGAGCAGTTTGGCTGTGTGGCACTTTAATTTGTTGTTCTGACTCATGGATGATTTCAGGCTGAGGTTGTTGAGCCATATTTTCAGAGGATTTAAATAATCCAGAGAGTATACCACTTGTTTGAGTTGTTTTTTGTGTTGAACTATTTTGTGGTTGATTTTGGACAGTAATAGGAATACTTCTTGCCTTTGTTTGCTCATGACTTGATTTACTAGAGGTAATTCCATGTGGCTGAGCTGATGGGTGCTGTTGTGTGTTTATGTTGTCTGCTGAAGCAAATTTAAAAAGACCAGATAAAAGACCACCTTGCTGGGATTGTGGCTTCTGGAGTGGAACTGTTTGTTGACGAGTAAAGCCTGGTTTACTAGTGTCCCTTTGGACAACTTCCTGACTTGGTGTTCTATTCCTGAGATGAAGCCCTTGGTCTGGACCTTGAGTATTCTGAGGGTTGAAAGCCAGTTGACTATGTTTAACACCGCTTTGTTGGTGCTGAACAGTTTGGCTGCTTGAAATATTCTCAGAGGATGTAAATTTAAGCAAGCCAGACAGCAACCCCTGTTGTTGAGGTTGTGTTTGCTGAGTTGCATCTGAAGTCTGCTGCTTACCAGAGAAAATGCCATGCATATTCTTCTGTTTTTCAGCTTCAGATAGCTGAACATTTTGTGGTATATTTTCTGTTGATGAAAACTTCAATAGCCCTGAGAGAAAGCCCCCCTTCGGGGGAGCTGAAGAAGTTTGTGGTGGGGGAGGGTGATGAGGAATCTGTGGTGGATTACTGCTCCTGGGTGGTTGATTGTTATGGGCAGCCTGCTGAGGTGAACTGTCAGATAGGTCACTGGTAGAGGCAAATTTAAGAAGTCCAGATAGCAGTCCTCCTTGTTTTGGTTGATTAGAGCCCATATGAGAGATGTCCTCCGTCGAGCTCCCTTTAAGAAGACCTGTCAAAAAACTTTGTGATTGAGGCTGATTGGGAGCTTGATGCTGCATTCCATGATGAGCTGCTGTTGGGTTCTGATTTGATGTAGGTTGTGCATGTGAGTCAGATGGCAATTTGCTGCTCTGAGATTGTGGATTACTGGTAATATTCTGGTTTGAACTGGGAGGAGTAGAGGTAGGGTTAAAAATGCTTGAAAGCCATCCTTTCTCAGTGCTTTCTGGTGGCACAGTGGAACTCTGTATAAAGGTGGAGGAGGTTGTTGAAGTTGAATCATGATATGATTGCACAGGATTCTGTGTGTTGGTGGAGGCACTTACATCCTCACTGGATGCAAACTTTAAAAAACCAGAGAAAATGCCTCCCTCTGCTTTTGGACGTTGCTGAGTGGAGACATTTTCAGAGGAGGGGAAAGGCTGTTTAGGGTTACTACTCAATGATGGGTCCTCCACTGGTTTCTCCAGTCGGGGATCCTCTGTGGTTCTAAACACTGGATAAACTGCCACAGGTGGAGGTCCTTGCGGTGGAACAGGGGCAGTAGATGTGATCAATGAACTTAATGACTTCTTCAAAGGGCTAAAGAATCCAGTGTTTGCTGATTGTGTTTGGCTAGTTGGCCTTGCTGGCCCCGAAACAGGCACATTTTCTTGTTTGTAAATCATTGGATTTTGTTTTCCATATGTATTTGCATCTTGATTTTGTCTCAAATGTTTCTCTTGTGATAAACTTAATTTTCCAAATTTCCCACCTCCTTCTGCCGTCATCGACTGTTTAGCTTGATGAACACATTTCTCATCCCATTGTGTATGGCCTTGAGAATACTTGGTTTCTGGTTCCTGTTCAGCTGAGTTCCCATTTACTCCTGCTGAAAAAAGCTTTAAAGGATTCAATTTCCCCAAGACAGAGTTTCCTGGAGCACTTTGAGGTTTGGTTTCAACCTCAAGTATATGTTCTTTCGTACTTGTTTGAGTTTGACTCCATGTGGGAGCTTTTGCTTCTTGATTATGACCTTGTGTATTGACATCACGTGGTGGCTGAGAAGACAAAGAACTGAAGGATTTTTCAGGAGAAGTTTCTACTGGAGATACAACAGCTACAGGAGCTGAGCTATTTGATTTAGGAATAAAGGACAAGAGTTTTGTTAGCCCAGATTGTGACGATTGTGATGGTGCTTGTGGAGGCAGGACAGGCTGTTTAGGGCCTCCTCCCACTCTGTCAGTGAGAGAACTAAATAATGAGCTCATGGCATTTTTTACCCCTGAGACGCCTTGGTCAGAAGAAGTGTGCGATTGGGTTTCTACTCTTGGATCCTTTGATGAGCTATTTTGGTCATCTCCAAAAGAATCAGTTCTGTTGCTACCCAGAGACGATAGCCTAGATTTACTTGATTTAGGAAGGGAACCATACTTACTAATTTCCTCCTCTTTTTCAGCAAGGTATTCAGAAACTGTTTCAACAAGACACTGGAGCTCATCCATAGGGTCTACATATTCATCACTTGGTTCCTCTACAGGAGAGAGCATTGCCTCTGGAGTCCATCCTCCAATTTTAGCTTTTCCACACTTCTTCTCCCGGAGACCCTGAGAATTTTCAATGTGGCCCTCATAGGAGAAAGAATACCTATCTTTGTGATGTCTTGCATTGCTTGGGTGAAAATTTTCTCCTACAAAGGCATCAATATCCTCTTCTGCTCCTATGGAGTAGTGCAGATCTTCAGAACTCTCTAAATCAAAATCAAAACGTGCCCCCATTCTTGCATCTTGTTCTTTTTTGTATGCCACATAATTCTCTAAAGTGTGGTCAAGCTCATTTTTAGCCCACATCCTCGTCTTGTAGAGAAGCCCATTCTTGTATGGCCTGAGGCATGATGTCAACTTCTCCTCTTCCTGCATCTCCACTACCTGCTGCATAAACAGCTCCCCCCTCTTCTCACGGAGCAGTGCAAGGTCAGAGGGAAAAGCCTCTTCTCTCATTTCGTCTGCCTCTGCACTAAGCAACCCTCCTGGGTTCCTTATCGTTTTCTTTCGCCGTCGATCAATAGTGTCATAGCCCTCAGGGTAGGTGGCAGGCAGAAAACCACTACGTTGAGTATTTTGACGGATAGGAGTATGTGATAGCTCAGGGTAGGGTCTTCCCATTCGAAGGATAACGTTGTCTTCCTCATCATCTAAGAAGTCACTCAGCTGAGGCTTGCCCTGCCCTTTGTATTTGTTTTCCCAATCTTCGACCCCCATGCCAGAATCTACAGGTATAATTCGGACCCTTCCTTTCTGGTTTAACGATCTAATTTAGGTTAGGAATTAAAGATTTAACGGGGTGGGAAAGGATACAAGGAAAGAAAAGAAAAAGCAAACAAACAAGAAGAAAAATGCAAACAAAAACACAAGTTAAGCAGTACGATAAATGGAGAAATTAGGAACAATTTCATGCAAATGTAAAGACAATAATGCTCATCAGCTTAGTAGTCACTTTTGTAATAATTCTGCACACATATTCTTAATAGAGTCAAGGATATAATATATAGGTAATAAAACTGTATGTGTGTTCAAGTCTGAGAGTGCATGTGCCCCTATGTTTGCATGTGCCTCTGTGAATTTATATCTTTTTAAATTCCCACAGAAACAGTCATGCTTATCAGCACTTCAACACACAGCCTGCAACAGCATTCAAGAAATGCATGCTAAATCACCACCATATGGCACACACTGAAAGTTTTTCATCACAAAAGAAATGCACGTGTATGTCACTGACCCGCTCCCTCCATGTGTGACAGAGGGATTCCCTCTGTGATATGGTTAAACCAAGTTCAGAGCCTTTGAAACTATCAGGAACTTGAACCAACACAACAGACCCAGACTCAAGACAAAAAGAAACATGAACAATGAGCTTTTTCCTGGCTGTAATCCCATTTTTTTTCTGATCTAGAATTATCCGGATCAACTCCCTATCAGTCCACACAGGCAGATTTGCAGCAGTCTCACTGGTACACATGTATTCCATGGCAATCCACTCAGACTCCATGCACCAAGACCATTTGCTTTATGGATGAAGCCCTCAAAACAGCTGTGTAGTGTTGATGATGATGATGATGATGATGATAATGATAATAATAATATAATAATAATTATAATAATAATAATAACAGTAATAAAAATAATAATAAAATGTTTTAATAGCAGTAGCTTAATGAATAATATTCTATTGAAAGTAAAATATTGTTGTTATTTTAATGTAAATATATAATTCTAGAAACAATCACCACACATACAAACACACCTTTGGCCAGCTTTAACAAATAGTGTGTAGTGATGTGCAACTCAGTGGAGAACAACAATAATATGAATTAAAAAGCTAGAGAGAGTGGAATTAACTGCAGCACTAAGGCTGAGGATACAGGGTCTGATCCATTCTGCCTCTAGAGTACAGATCCCTCCTGGTCTACTGAAGCAGCTGAATGAACCACTAACTATGGCAAAAAAGGAAAGCTAGCCGACAGACAAAAAAAAGCACAAAGCTCCAACCATATTGGCTCTGAGTCTGGCAAACTGTCCAAAAGAAAAAAAAAACTGAATAATTATAATAATTTAAAATGACTATTTCTGTCACTGCAAATCTGAAAGTAGATGTAAAACAGGAGGAAAATTTTAAGTCTGTATGAGTAAGGAAATGTATGAGTGAGTTTGAGTAAGCAACATTTGCTCTGTTTTTAAATTGGAGAAATAATAAAATAACACATAACGAGTTACCATTGAGGGTACAGTTGTTTATTTCTAAAGCAATCAGTACTACACCCCTGAAATAGATCTTTCGTTTGTTGAGTTGATTATGTTAAATTTTTGCTGGCACTGTCTTTTGTCACCCTCATGTTTATATATGGGGATGGGTAAAACACTGGACAAACAAGGCCATTGTGCCGCATTGCACTAGATACCACAATTGTACCAAAAGAAAGCATATTGGCTCTAAAGTGACCGAGTGAGTGAAGGTGTGTATGGGTAACTGTGTGTTTACTCTGTCTACCTGCTTCCTCTCTGGTCTCTGTAGTCCAGGTCAAAACTGTGGACAGAGTCCGTGCAGGAGTCTGGGTGTTGCTGCAGCCGAGGCCCCATGGGGTACTGGTGCATGGAGGAGTTGGGCTGAGCCGTTGTGTGGTAACGTGGAGGCAGACTGTTACTAGTCTCACTGCGGTAGTCACTGTCCCGGTCATCTACAGCACTGTCCTGGTCATCTAGAGCTGCAACAGGACGAACTGAGTAAATTAAGCTTACCTGAAACATCACTAAGTATGTTTCATACAACCAGCAAGCATTTAAAAATCCTTGATTATTATCAAACCCATGTGAAAGTGCAGCCTAGTTTAAATTTTGCCTATCTGGAAAGAAAAATGTTAAGAGCTGAAGAAATAGAAATAAACAAACTAGGAGTGGATGCCAGGTTAATAGGGAGGTTGAGAGAGCAAATGTCATGCAGTTTTAAAAGACTGTAGCCTTTATACACGCAAAATACTAAATGGAGGATACTGAGTTATGTGTCCATCTGTGTTATCCTTTAGATTGATCTGTTGTATGTAATTGGGAATTTTCATTTTTTTCTAAAAGGACAGTGACAAAAATTGTACAGCAAAATTAAACACAGTTGTTTTTGTACATTTATGTGCTGTTACACAAACATTACAAAAACTTCTTACAAATCTGATCTGTTAGAAGAAGAAGACAAAGAAGAAATGCACCCAAATAAACTACTTTTTGAAAGTGACCTTGCCAACCCCAAGAGTGACCTTAGAAAATTTCTTTGAAGAGGTTGGCATCTGCTGGAGGGAGCAGCTGAGCTAGGGTTTTATCTTTTCAGAGCGATAAAGTGAGAGGGGGACAGATAAACTGATTCTGTTGATATCTCTTAGAGCAGAGTGGGAGGACAGTGAAATGTCAAGGTGATATATAAATATAGCTGAGCGAAGGCTGCCACCTACCAGTTTAGTGATGCAACTGCAATTTAAACTCTCAGATTTGACAAGGGCTTTTCTATAGGTTTTAATAACCATATTCAAATATTATTATAATCCTAACAAACACATTCTTAAAAAAAGGTGTGTGGAGCACAACTTCAGAAAAATATCAGTGTTTCTGATGAATTTTCCTGACTCTTTGTTAGCTAGTATGTGTGCTAAATCACTCACATATGGACTTAATATACATGGGTTATGAAAATCATATGACATCAGCACAGAGCATAGATAACGGGAAAACAGCAGGACAGAAGGATATTAAGTTAAAAAAAAGGACAAAGGGGGGTCCAGGAAAATAGTGAGGAAAACCAATGAGTGAAATAATGAGAATAAAATGCACGGAAACTTTATGTTTTACATGTTATTGGGTGTGGGGCATTAGGACATGCAGAGGGCACTGAGGATTGTCCAGGGGGGAAAATTTCATCAAAGTGTGTTTTACATACTCAGTGGGTCAGCCCATCCGAAATAGTTGCCTGGTGAAAGTGCAGATGTTACAAGTGAGAGGTACAATCAGAGGAGGTAGAGGGTGTGAAAACAAAAAGAAAGTGTCCCTGTGTTGGAATAATGGGAAGACAAGGGAACCTTATCAGTGGTTCTCAGAGTGGAAAACAAACTGTCACAACAGTGAGAAAAGATTTGACATGCATAACACGGCCTCTTTGTTAAGTTTGTAAAAATATTTACAGACTTAATCTGAGGTGTATAATCTTCGTTTCCAATTCTGACTCAACTGTTACTAGATCTGGCAGTGCAACAGGGTCAAGAGAGTGGAAGGAAATAATATCAAAGCCTGAGAGCTAAAAGGATGGATAATTGGCCCCATCTAGTGGCTGAGAGCAATATAGGCAGGCACACTCACAGCACTGGGATGCTGCAAATGGCAGTGGGCGACTCTGAACGTCATCCTGAATAGGGTACTACAAAGGGGGAGAGAGAGAAAATAGCATGTATCAAGTCTTTTTTTCATGTCCTCATATTATTATTACCACAGTAATTTAATAGCCCCACTCCATCAGCATTAACATCAACAAAAATAAATATAGCAGTACGTCATTAGCAGTACTGCTGAGGTGAAGTAAACAGGAACATCTGTTATATTTAGACATCAAAACACAGAAAAAAACTTGACTTAATTAAAAGAAAATGCAAACCAGCAGGACATAACTGTGTGTTATCATTACAATATATCAATGCACTGTTTTGCCTTCAAAAAAAAAAAAAAAGTAGTAAAACCTCATCAAGTGGCTCTTTACCTCATCATGGATTCTCATGGTATTGATACGTTCCAGCTTGCCTGTCCAGTACTGTGCCTCATCATCTGGGATGTCTGGTACCAAAATATGCATAAAACATACATGTGAACCTGTGTTTGACGTCTACATCCTGCTCCTTCTGACTTCAAGCGTCACATTCCAGGATGTTATCATAATACATTTATGCCCGTTTAATTTCTCATGAGCATCTCAGGAGCGGGGAAATAAAAATAGTTAACAATGGCCACAAACTGTTAAGGGAGGAGGATCACAAATGTCAGGAACATTTTTGTCAGAGCAGCAAGGAACGAATGTCTAAAGATGCTGCAGATGAATCTTGACGGTAACATAGCAAACACATTTTAAATGACGAGCTATAGTTTGAAAAGCAGAATAATTACACACATTAATGACATCACATTAACGAAACTACCAAATATGAAAAAAATTTAAATTAAAACCTGAAAAATACTAGCAGCCAGGAGAAAAGGTCGAATAAACATGTACATACGTGAATATAAATATATATGTTTATATGGGGGACAGCTGATATGAAATTAAGTCAGAACAGGAGTGTTTTGTCCTCATTTTTTCTTACTTAACCCTGCCTCTCTAACCATATGTATTACCTGAGACTAGATTACTATTCTCTATCACAGATCAGGTACTCTCCTCTCACCGATCCCACTTTTCAGGTGGATTTGCGCTACACTGCAGACAGATGCACATTAAAGGCCACACATACAAAGGCCAGGGGCTTCAAAGACACACCGACCCACAGCTTTAATGAATGGCTGTGGTGCCACAGAGAGTCATGATGGCCTTCTGCAACTTTGAAAGGTCTCCTCTTAAAACAGAGAAACAGGCTGTCTCCCACTCAGCGGACGGACACCCTGCTTTAACTTTGATGCCGTTTGATCATAAGGTTTGAGCTGTATATGCGGCGCCGGCGAAGGGGATACTGTAAATACAACTGTGGTCAAGGACACAGAGAGCGAGAGGGCAACGTAGGACATTTTACTCGTGAATCTTGAAGAGCGTCAAATTAAATGAGATTCACAGCACGAAATATCTCATACTGTTAATTATCAGTAGGACTTTTATTCAGAAATTCTTTTCATCATTTGAATCGGGCAGATTGGACAAGGTTGGTTGTATGCAAAGGGACAGTAATAGTGACAAACCCACAAAGAGTTATCATCCAACTCTGTACTGCTGGCAAGCTTTTCGACCTGTTTAGCCTCTTTTAGCTCATTTGTTTTGTTTTATGGCTCCTTCACTGTTTGATTCATTCTCATTTCTCTCATTCACCTAGTTTCCAGCAACAGCAAGCAGCTGTTTTCACCATAAAAACTCTGATAAACCCACAGTATGCTCCCTGCCTAGCTCCAAACGGTAGACAGTCAAAGTTAGTGACTACGTAGTGAAGAAAATGAAACATTGAGCAGCTAAATTGCCAGATATTTTTCCCAGTTGAGAGGTAATGGAGCAAAAGAAATCTGAAAATTTGATTGATTTTCATCATATGGTCAAAAGCACTACCTAAATAAATGCTAATGTTGCTGATGGGTGCCTTAATAGATGAATTCTTGTTAAAGTATCTCTATTTTATAAAGCAATGAAAAAACTAAAAAAAGAAAATCAATGCATGCAGCTTTGATTAAATAGATATGCAAATGTTGCTTTGGAAAATTCCAGTTAGTTTTGACTGATGGACCAAAACTGTAGCAAAAAGCATTCCTAATGGTTCCTTAATCCTGTTGGCCGCAATGGAACAATCTGGAAAGACAAAATTATATTTACTGAACCTAAGTTAATAAAGGATGGTCTGCCGTTGATGAGTCAGTGCCCCCAATTTATGCAGGACAGAAACAGGCACCTCATCCCCACTGCAACCAGATAGACGACATCAGACACTAAAACGAATATCTGTGACAAATATATAAGAGTTCCCTGTTTCTAGCCATGAATTGTTCAACATTCGTGTCCCTCACATCAAGCAGTGAGATAATAGTATGGATGTTATGAGTTAACTTGATTCAGGAAGAATGTTGCGTCATACTCTGCTTGAGTAGACCATGTTCTTCATTCCTTATAATTTCTATTCAAGAGGAATCAGTGTTTGCATAAAGCAACAGAACACCAGGTTACACTACGTCATCGGTTTGTTAGTCAGTGCCCCAGGCTGGATAGTTTTTCCTGTGTATCTCAGAAACCGACTGCTGACATTTTAGCAGGAAGCATGCATGGCCTTTGTGTAACTTGGTGGAGCAAGGTTTGATTTGACCTCAGGTAACCTGAATCACTGATGTACTCCCTAAATCACTTATGCACTCACTGTAGTCACAGCAGGTACTTGAGATGACAGTGTTGCAAAACTTCTTATGTAAGCACCTGAACTTTTCAAAAGTGTGGTTTAGTTATTGGATACTTGCCTCATTCTGGAAGTCCTAACATACAGCTAAAACACAAAGCGACTGGAAAAAAAAAGGGATAGGCAACTCTCACCAAAAGGCAGCTCGAAGCGAGTATCCATCAGGACTCGATGGGGTGTTGGGTTCTTGGTGCCATATATCTCATCCGCCTTCATCAGAACCTCTGCATCCAGGAAAAGCCACTCACCTGAGCCCTCCTGCAATCAGATATGTATATACAGTAGGTATTTATCTAGGTAGACAAATGAATATTTTTTTGTGTCTACTTTTGTACCCACTTTATGCTATTATCATTATTTTCAATGGTAATACATTTCAGGTACTTTTATTAGTGTAACTGCTAAACTCTTTTCTATCTTATTTCTGTCTATTTGTACTATATACAAAAAAAATGCACAATTGAAATACTGTATCTTGTTACTAATGAAGACTCAGTTTTGTCAATAGGGAAATTTAATTTTGAATAGAATGCTTGCTATATCTTTTTTCTGTATTATGTAATTTGTGTGTGGCGGCATATTCAAACCTCCTCTGATTGTCGGATACTCTTTAGGGGAATCCAGGCGGTCCCCACCATGGTATCCCAGATGAGGCCTTTGTTCCACACCTCAACAATGAGGCCGAGGTCCAGCCGGTTGATCTCACTGAGAAAGAGAGCAAATAAAAAAGCGTGTCAGGTATCAAGTAATGTCAAGCTTTAATAATAAAAGGTCCGTCCTGATAAAGAGCGTGGAGAATGCCAGCAGATAAAAGAGCGAAACAATAGCTACATAATTTGAGGCTTTGTTATCAGAATGAACAAAAAAAAAAAAAAAAACAGAGAAAACTTTCCAATGTTATTCAATTCCAATTCACATTCAATGAAGCAGAAATTTCTACATAATTACTGCCAGGCCCTACCACTGGCTGATAACAAAGGCTACTTCCTCTTTTTGTTGTGTATTAGCTGTCATAATCCATTCCAGCCTTGTTTTGTCATTCAGCGTGCTTTACAAAGGGCTCAAAAACAGCTTGATGACAGCAGTAAAATGGCATATAAATTTGTGAAAGGAGCCGCGTGACAAGGGCATTTGCATATTCTCATCTGTGGCAGTTTGCAACTATCGACTGGACAAACAAAAGGAAGATGACAGAAAAGATAATCAAAGAGAACAGCTAATTGAGAGAAGTGCAGGGGAGGGCGCCGAGTATCCGCGGTGTCCAGGTGCAGAGATAAAGGATTTCTAAATCATCTGCTCACACAAAATGGCAGAGAATAAATAAATCTAGCAAGGTATTAAAAGCAAACTGTTGCTAATTTTAACTGAGTGACTTGTTTAGGATGTCATTTAGATTCTATTATCCAATCTTGTAAATTTTTATTTAATTATTGCCTTTTTTAATTAAAACAAGACTACTTAATCCAGTTTTGTTCTCCAACTGACTGGAATGAACTTGCAAATGTCCATCTGAAAGTAAGTACTTGTCTCGACAAGATAAGGGGAGTCTCCTGCACTTGCCGGATCACTTGTTATTTCCACATCATTTTAAACCCCCTTCATGCAGTTCAGAAAAACACACAATCAAAACACAGTAGATGTAGATCAAAATGGAATTGAAACTGTGGAAACCTTATTATGAAAACACAACATTTTTACTAACTTGTTTTTATGTTAATGTTTTTTAAATCCTTTCATCATGGTGGCGGTTTAAGCCTATTACACTCTGTATATACTTGTTGTCAGTGACAACCATTTTACCTAGTGTATCAAAAGCATACTGGTTAATCTCCTACCTTCTATTGCACTACCTGGCTCAGTACAGTGCTGTTTTTTTAAAAAAAAAAATGTATATATTTTAGGTCCAAGTTATGTTAACATTAAAAGCACTACATCATCATTTTGGGAAAAACACTTTCACTTTCTTTCTGGGACTCAGATGAGAAGATTGAGACCATTCTAATATCTGTACGCTAAATACTGGAAACAGGGAGAAAGAGCCGGCCTTCATGCTAAGCTACGCTAACCGGCTGCTGGTGGTAACTTCAAATTCACCATCTTCAATCCTCTCATCCAACTCAAGAAAGCTAATATGTGTATTTCCCGAAATGTCTGACTATTCCTTTAATTTGAAACCGCTCTTCCTTGTTGATGCATTAACGTGCACACCATGCAAATACTCAGCTCTCGAAAACAACTTCATACAAAAGTAAAATGTAATCCAGACAAATGATAAGCAATCATGATAAAACATAACAATATATGTAACATCTTTCAAGCATATCTGAACTCAGATATTGCTGCAAGTTAGCTCCAATGTTCAAAGATAGGAAATTTGGAATTGCCATTTTTGGATTGTACTTGAGCTGCGTCACCATCTCCTAATGTTTAATAAAGACATTTGGTTGTAACAGGTGGTGCTGAGCATTCACTGGAAACGCTGATGAATGATTCTGTTTTACGTTGAATCACACCTAGCCAACACATCATTAATGGACAGTAGAAGGATGAAGGTCTGGAAAAACAAACACTGTTGCAATGAGGGAGTTTACAAAAGACAAACAATGACACACATGCAACAACGTGCTGTCTCTCACGTCGCCATAGATACCTTTCACAGGGAAAGTAAAATGAGGAAATTAAACCCAATGAATTACAGGGAGGAAATGAACAGCAACTGTTTGACGAGATGCTTTCGTAGAAGGAGTTGCAGAATTTGAAAAACAGACACCTTTCCTGTTATAAGCATGAGGTAGGTTTCAAATTAGGATAACAGGGAATGTGACGTCATGGATGGTGTGTGAAACACTGTATGTGTCTCTGACAGAAGGATGCACCCTGTTTTGTCTCTCATACACTAATATCTTTTTAGATAAATGATAGAAAGTCTTGTCAAAGGTGATACATCACGAGGTGAGTTGTCAGTCCTGAAAGATTCTCACTGTCATAGAGTCACACCAAGTCAAACATAGTGACAGTCTAGTATAATGTCTAAAGTGCAGTGAGCTGATCGCTTGTATTGGTTTTGTGTATTAGGTGAGGTCCTAAAGGCATATTTTTTTGTCTACTATGAACTAATAATTAAATTAAAGTGTGGTAATTAAAGTGATTAAAATCTAATTAGTTCAATAAATCTTGAAGCATGAATCCTGTGTGTTTAATAACTTACAACATAAAATCCTGTTCCCAGCAGGGCTGCTCCCCCCGCACAGTGATCGTTGTGCTTTTGACATTCTGCACCTTCAGCGTCACGTAGGTGTTAAACTTGTCTGAAACAAAGGAAAGAAAGATTATAGTTTAAATTATAATGAGGTGTTAGCAATGCACTGCAAACATATGAAGGGGTTGTATTAGGGAGAGTATTATGAATGACTATTACAAAAAACATCGGGGAGTAAATGAGCAGTAGAGAAGATATTATTTGCACAGTGTTAACATACTGTATATGCAGGGTCATTCATCAGGAAAACTGTACCGACACACACACATACACACACACTTTCAAGGGTGTTATATATTGAAACAGATCATGGAAAAAAAGGCAGGCAGCAGATCCAATGTTCAAAATAATACAAGTAATACTGACCAGGCCAGTTCTACTTTGGCTTTGTGTGGGAGAAAAATACATCAGGAGCTCTAGTGAGAGTGAAAGCAGATAAGCACCCCCGCCCTGTTGAGCCAAGCCAAGCCAGGCCAGGCCAGGGCAGCAAACTGACCCTGTTAATCTCCAGTGAGAGCCAACCACACACAGCAGGTTCAACAATCCAAATGCCTGGAACGTCTCTCCCGCACTGTAAATTACAGCTTCTCCCGATCCCACTCATTATAATTTCTTCTAAACATGCTGCATGTAACAGAGGACGCAGGTCTGCTGATGACGTAATGAAGTGGAAGTCTCTCCTGACCTGTTACTACTGCAGAAAAGGTCTCTGTCAGCCCTGATAACATCAAAACTAAAATTGAATTTCAAATGGGTCAAAGGTGACGTGTAATTTTCTTTCTGAAACTGTGTGATCTATAAATTCTAAATCTAATTCTAAATATGACCGCCGGCCGGTTCTGTAGTAAATGATCACTCTCTGCGACATGGGTTCAAATGCCTATCTGTCAGTCTGTGTAGACAACTTTCACACCCAGTGATCTCCATCAGCCTCCTCTCAGCCAGTAGTACCGCACGGTGGAGTCACAACAACCATTTGCACCAGCTGTCAACGCCTGTAGGGGTGAGGGGGGTGGAAGGGGATTAGACAGCCCGTAACACAACCACCACTTTTCATTTCCTGCAGTTGGGCGAATGAGCGCCAAACCCATGCCTGCTGATGTGCTCAGTTTTGTTATGGTAGTTACCAACCCCTACAGCACTGGTGGTCCTCCCTGCAACGGCCCCTTATACCAACATAAATTTGACCTGTACCTAGGCACAACAGCAGCTATAGGATCAGCTTGGATTGAAATGCTTAAAGATCTTGTGACTAAGTTGTATGGAAGAAATAACCATAGGAGATAATGGATCCTTTCAGTATAAAAGCCTTGGAAATGACCGTAAATTTAAATCAATAGCTATATAAAAACAGTTTTAACAGAACCTGAAAGTTTTAGTCTTCATGAATGTAGTATTTGTAAAATTTTGTTATCAATAAGACCTACAATTTTTTTTTAAATATCAATCACAGTATTGCAGAGGTTTTATACTGATAAATGCACCCATTTGAAACATATGTGCGCACTGCAGGACCATCATCATTACTCTCGCAAAACATTACAATAAGTAAAATCACAAGGGCTGCGACATTACTGATTAATCTGCCAATTAATTTCTCATTTAATTGTTTAGCCTATAAAATGTCAGAAATTAATGAAAATTTCCATAAGTCAAATGCTCCCATTGCTTCTTTAATTGAATAATTATTTCATCTCTAAAAATGGCAACAACAGAGCTTTGAAATACCAATGATATATAAAATATAGTGAAATAATTAATTAAAAAACATATGCCAGATGCAATTATCTTGAAGTTTCAGTATACAATATAATTACAATACACAAAATATGTTCGTATTAACACCCTGTTTTGATATGGGCAGCACCCACAATTTCTGGAGCAAAGACTGAATGTTGACCCCCATGCACTCACACACATACACTCACACACATACACACACACACACACACGCACACAGGCACACAGGCACACAGGCACACATGCACACACCTTTTGGTCTATGGGAAATAATAGCAAAGCATCAGCTGCTCCTTTGTAGACTGATCACCTGACCACGTTAAACAAAGATTTTCCTGGTTACCGCAGCAACATATTGAAACATTTACTCTGCACATAGCCTTTAACACAGCAGCCAGATAAGTAAACGCAACTCTTGACACAATGAGACAGTAAACAGTTGACACAGGTGGATTCTTACAACATTCCACTGGCACACAACGTAAATAAACATTAAGAATTAAATTAGGCCACAAAACAGAAAGCACCCAGTGGTCTGAAAGCATTGCCCGACTGACAAGTACCATGAGTGACAAGACACAGACCTAATTAGTGTCTCTGGAGAACAGTAGCGACAAAACACAGGTATTATTACAAAGGAGCCTGGGGGATGCTCAAGCCTTTTGCTAATTAGATAGACCATGCTTTGTGCCACACTTGGGCCGCCTCCCATGAATAGAATAGATGAGATAAGAGAAGAGGATGTTGGATTAGATAAGAGCCACTTAGTGGTTGTGGGCCTTTTACAGTAGGCACTGTCCACTATACGGCCGATACAACCTGCACTGTTGAGGAGGAAGCAGCAGTAACTAGCTGGAAAAACACAAACTATGTGCATGCACACCAGAGCCTGACTGTTAATGGATTTATGAGGTCAATACCGGTATCAGTGTTTGAGAATAATTTCAATACAAGGACAAGACATTGGCCAGTATTCCCTTTTTAAAAAAAAAAAAAAAAAAAAAAAAAAGGTAAGATACACATAATATAATATTAACACTGGAGCTAGACTACACTAGTCAGGCTGATATATACACCAATGTAAGCTTATGTATTGATACTAGTGTATATGTATTTACCAATAGGTAGGCATTACAGTACAGAAATGCAGAACAAGGTTTGAGGTGGTTTAGGACAGTGTCACCATTGGTCACAATTCAAAAGAAAAAAATCTACAGAATCCATATGAAGATTGTTTGTTTTTAACTTACTATCAGCCAATACATTGTTACTGGGTTTTTTATGCTCCCAAATACCAATATCAGTAGTTGTAATGGCTTAAATCCAGTATTGGTTGAGCTTTAACTGATAGAATAAACAGAAATCAATAAAAAAACAATCATTTTTGTGAAGTTCTATAAAACGTTGTGATAAACATACTGTATGTATGTCTAACTTTTATTAGAAAACAAAGATGACACCAACAGTTAAAATAGTATTTTTGAAGAGAAGCTTCACTTAACATTAAATGATTACAAAATAATAGCTATAAAACATAGTTGAGTTAAATTAAGCACACTATACAACTGCTCAACTTTCCAGCTCAGCAATTTCTTCTAATGTTCGCCGTATACATCCAGGATGTACTGATATATCCAAGACAAGACGAAGGCAACTTATAATATCAGCCCTGCCTATATATTGGTCAGGGTCAAGCAAGCACACTCAAACATGCAATATATGTAAATCCACATACATCAAGTTTGTACCTAACAGAAGTGAAACTGTGAAATCTTAGGCACTTTAACTCTGTAGGATCCACACACACACACACACACACACACACACACACACACACACACACACACACACACACACACACACACACACACACACACACACACACACACACATAGTGAAAGCACACCAAGCACACCTGCCAGTGGAGGAATCACATGAAGTGACTTGTGGGATGATACAGCCATCTTGTCCTGTCAATGTTTTAAGACAGAACTCGCTGTCCCTGCCTGTGAACTGCCCGCTCACCCTGAGCCCTCAGTGTGTCTTCATCCATTATTGATTGATGATGAGTTTTTCAATGAATTAGTCAGGGAAAGGCAGTCAGTTGGAAGGCTGACATTTCAAATTCAGACCAGTCATCAATGTTGCATGCAACAGGAGACATAAATCTATTGGAGGAGTTTTTCACCATTGATGGGACCACCTCATGAGAAGTCTCCATCTGTACAGGGTGCATTCTGAGTATCTTAGCATAGTTTTCAGAAACTAAAATTACTTAAAAAAAACACTAAAATATTTGGGCAGGCATACACGTAGAGACTGAGCACACATACATACACAGAGAGAAATCCAGCAACACACAGCCCTTATCAAGCCCCAGTTTCCTGTGGCAATCAGTGGAAAGTAAGACAGCTGGCCACTGGCCCATCCAAGGTCACCTTCAGTTCTACAGAAACAACTGAATGTAAGGCCTCCAAAGTGAGGCCTAAGAGCTATCCATCTGAAGGTGTGGTGAAAGCGCAGCACAAACACACATCCCAGACCAGCCTTATGTAAACGTTGAGGGTTCTTCCAATAAGTCTCACATCTTCTTTTGCAGAGCAAGTTAGGGTTATTACGAGGATTATTGAAAAGCCGCGACATGTTAAGTACTCCGTTCCTTAAACCTGAATAAACAGACAAAGGGCCTGTTACTTCCGAGAATTCCCACAAGCATGAGGAGTACGGTGACATAATGGCAAAAGAAAAAAATGACATAACTGCAGGAATCTGATCTCAACATGCCTTTCCTATAACTAAAGAGAAGATTAAGTGCAGATCTCGTCAGCAGAATGTGCAGCTTTGATGCACAATTGATTATATTTGCAGCATAATGAGACAGTGAGCCAGTTCAGTGCCCAAAAACAATGGAACATCCAGAGTGTGTGTGGTCTAAGGAATAGTGGTCTAGGTCTAGGTCTAGGCTTAAAGTCTACAAAATGTATGAATTAAAAATGTGCCAAAATCATGCTCTCCACAATAATGAAAGAAACAGAAGTTGATTATGATTATATTATTATTCCACCCTGTATTTCCATCCCTCCTATTGCACAGGGTTAATTTAGCACAATGCGTTGAAGAGGAGATTTTTTGCTGGTTACAGTTCCTTGAAAAACCTGATTGAGCAGGTTGCTACTGCTAAAGCTACATTATCAGTCTCACAGTATTTATAAGATTATTCTTTTTATACCATTTGCCTAAAGATGATATCATTTACAGTATCAACTTCACCTTTGGTGTTCTAAATCTCTTGCAGGACTGTTCCTGACATATCCCTCTTGGCTCTGTGCCATAGAAAAGTGACTGAAGTTTACATTTCGCCTAAGGGTGACGACAGGCTTAACTGAATTATCCCTGATGTTTGCTCTGGGGCAGGTGTCACATGAGTTGTGGGAGGGAGGAAGGCACAGGCAGACGGACAGAGAAGGCCAGCATAGACTGACAGTTTAAAACCAATATCTCAGCGCAGCAGACACAATGCTGCTTGTGAAATAAAATCATTACGCTTCCCCTAACATGAAGGGTAAAACACACACGCTAAACAAATGTAGAGACCTGCTGGATAATTGACTTTGCGGAGGTCAGCCGGGGACGGAGAATGAGAGTAAAAGTGTCACCGGCAGATCCAAAGCCGCGGTGACTTTCTGTCGGTGCTGATGCCTGCTTCTGACAGAAACGTCACAGGGCTTAAAGGGAGGCGTGAGGCTGAACACTACAGGGATTTGGCCAAGGTGGAGAGCGCGGGGATTTGGACTTAGCAGCCACCGATCTAAGCTCACCTGTGCGAGACTCGGCGTGGAAGGACACAGGATTACATAATGCAAGATCAAACCTAGCTTTCGGTGACTTGCCAGAATCTGAGTGATTAACCTACATGAGAAGATGAGTGTGTGTGGCATATTTCCAACAACAATTAAATTACTGGGGATTCACCTACAGCTTTACACCGGGTGAGGTTGTTGTAGATTATCTCACGGAGAAATGTGTTTAAAATGTGAAACATCTATGATCAGACTGAACAAATTCAGTAGTACTCACCTGGAGGTCCTTGGAGCTTGGCTTTCTTCACTGTAAAACACAACAAAAACAATGATTAGCATTTGTTGTTGTTATTGGTGATGAAAACAGGTCAGGAAACGCAAACATACCCAGGCATGAGTAATGAAAAATGGACAGGATCTCCTATTACTGAGGCCTGACGAATTCATTGATATGCAGAGAGGCGAGGCGTGAACTGATGACTCGTGACACCTGAACGACAGCCTCACGGTGTTATCGCCTGCAAGAGCAACAACACTTAACGTGCAGCTTGATTAAAATAGAGGAGCTATTTGTTTTGGTGGGCAGCTTCGGGTCGAAATGTTATTAGACGACAAAAACACACAATGTTTTTGCTGAATTTATGCATCACCATGGCTCACTGGGTGAAACAAAAACACACATTATGAAGCAATTTGCCTAATTTCTATTTCCCTATTACTTTTTTTTCTTCCAAATTAAACTTCTGCTGAAGAACTAATCTGTATTTGATTTCCTGATACACAATCTATTCTTGCCCAAATGAAGCTCATCAAGAAAACCCTCTGACACTGGAAAAATACCATAATAAACTCTGATGGAGCTTAAAAGTTAAACAGTTAGATTAATATGATGATTTTTATTCCTACATCATTTATATTTGCCATTTGTTCTCATCTATAAATATTATATCACCTTCGAAATAGCTTTAGACAGTTTATATTATTTAAGTTTATATATACAAATCACTGTACAGGGGTGCTAAATATATTTCTGCAAAATACAATCTGTGTATTGGAATATTTGTGATCAAGTTATATCAACACATACAGTACCAGTCAAAAGTTTGGACACATCTAGCCATGTAGGTTTTTCTTTGAATACTTTTTTCATTGTAGAATACTGACTCCATCTAAACTATGAAATAACACATATGGAATTATGTCGTAAACAAAAAAGTGCTATATAACAAACAATATATATATTTTAGATTCTTCAAAGGAGCCACTTTTTAACTTGATGACAGCTTTGCACAATATTGGCTTAACGAGCTTCATGAGGCAGTCACCTGGGATGCTTTTCAGTTAACAGGTGTGCCTCGTCAAGAGTTAATTAGTGGAATTTCTGGCCTTCTTAATGCGTTTGAGACCATCAGCCATGTTGTGTTGTGGTAGTGTTGGTATACAGTACTAATCCATATTATGTCAAGAAGTGCTCAACTAAGTAAAGAGAGACAACAGTACATCACTTTAACACATGACGGCCAGTCAATATGGAAAATTGCAAGAACTTTGAATGTAACTTCAAGCGCGGGCGCAAAAACCATGAAACTGGCTCTAATGAGGACCGTCCCAGCAGAGGGAGGCCAAGACTTACCTCTGCTGCAGAAGATAAGTTCATTAGAGTTACCGGCCTTAGAAATAGCCAATTAACAGCACCTCAGATTAGGGCCTACATGAATGCTTCACAGAGTTCAAGGAGCAGACTCATCTCAACATCAACTGTCTGGAGGAGACTGAGTGAATCAGGCCTTACAGGTCCAATTGCTACAGTGACTCAGTAGTTTCAGTACATCATTTATATTTTCCATTTGTTCTTCTTTGAAATAGCTTAAGAAAGTTTACATTACATAAGTTAATATGTACACGTGATCGCTCAGGGGTGATAAAAAATACTTCAAATATAATCTGTGTATTGGAATATTTGTAATCAGGTTATACTGACGCGCATATACATTGGATTGAGAAAAGAAATGAATTAGAAAATAACATACTAAGTACTGACACATACATTTTGTCAGAGCTGACAAATACATTTTATTGCAGAATACCAATTTTAATATAATCAAGAAGCATAAGCCTAGACAGCTGTAACACAAAACGCAACAGCTGGGAAACAAACCCGCAAAAAACAATGGCAAAAGTGGACCGGGGCAGATGGGTATTAAGATAACAAAAAAAAAAAAAAAAAAGCAAAATGTCTGACTACAGCAGCCATTTCCAAAAACCTCACAGCAATTATTTAAGGGGGAAAAAAAAGGCAGGCTCGTGTATTTTGGTTTATTTTTAGACCCACCATCTTTAGCCCCTTGATGCATCTATACAATAACGTTTATGGGATTGTGAAGCGCTTTGGAGGGGATTAATTGTGATTGCTGTGGCAGAGTTATGTGCTCAGGCATGTAACCCACTAAACCTCTGGAGCCTCTGATGGCAGATGGGCAGGACGGGATGATGGAGGCACAAATGACACTTTCATATTTCCATGCAACATCCCCCGTCCCGTCTATGTAACTATGTGGGAGTAGAACATATTTATTTGTTTTCCCTTCAGAATGAAAAAAATAAATCTTTGCCTCGGGGTTATGTGGTTAGAGCATTAGAGTAAAGTAGTCTTTGTATGTTAGACAATTGATAGTAAAGCAGTGCAAGTTTGAGAATATATATCAATGTAAATAAATGCGATTCCATGCACTGGATGTTACAATTTTAGCCACAAACCAACACTAAATTTAAAGAATAAAACTCAGAAAACCCAGAGTTTTTTCCAGTGTTGTCTTTTAGGATAACAGTGGGGGAAATGGGAACTTTGTTATCACAAAGGAAAAGGAAAAAGAAAGAACTTTTCATTCATTTGTCACTGAAACCCTTCCTGTCTTGTACATACCTCATTGTGAAGCGGAAAGGGAGCAGTGGAAATGTGTTGAGGAAGCAACAGTGTGAATATTTTCTTTTTTTTTTTTTTTTGGCTTTCCACTAAGCCTTTTCAGCCATGGGCCTATCTCTTTGTCAGTGGCGCAAATGAGCTGGCATGGTGGCCTTATGTCCTAATTTGCATGATGTTATTTAGGGCTGTGACACACAGAGCAGAGGGCAATAAACCAGGGGGCCATTATTGTGGAAACTGATGCTTATCATTTTCTGTCCTGGGCCCTCCATGGCTTTAGAGGCCATTTAGCTCAGGCAGGGCTGGATGCAGAATTACCCTGTTCCCTTTTTTTTTTTTTTTAACCTAGTGTGCTTACTTTCTTCTGAACATGCCTACAACTTGATTTATGGCTTACTGGGACACTTACTGGGACAATAGAACAGAGGTATTATTAATAATTGTTTTTAGTAACACCTGTGCTTTTTCTACTATGACAAGTTAAAATGTCTGCTGTGAAAAAGGTCTACTGGATCAGACATACTATGGAGTCCCATAGATCATAGCATACATTCCACCTAAGGGCCAATAATGAAACCTTACACAGTATCATAAAAAGGTTCACTTTGAAGCTGATGGTGCAAAATTTTGACACAGCATAGGAAAGGTTTATTTTCAAATCTTATGCTTTTCCCCATAACTATTTATTCCTTTGATTTTAGTTAACCATCTGACTACTTTCTTTGCATTTGTCTAGGGCTGCAACTAATAATTATTTTCATTATTGATTCATCTGCCATATATTTCCCCAATAAACTGATTAATCAGTTTGTCTATAAAAAGTCAGAAAATATTGAAAAATTCCCTTTGTAATTCTCCTGAGAACAAGATGAATTCTTTTATTTCCTTGTTTTATCTGACCATCAGTCTATGCAGCATAATGATATTTATAATGATAATGATAATAATAATAATAATAATAATAATAATAATAATAATAATAATAATAATAATAATAAGATAATAAGAATAACTTCTTTGCAAAGCTTGTCAAAGAAAATCAGCTAATCTGCACATTCAAGAAGCTGAAACAGGAGAAGGAATTGGCTTTTTTTTTTTATTAAAAGCGACTTGCACTATTATTAAATAGTTCTGTTTTCTGCTGTTGTCAACAGGATTTAATAATCCTGTGGTACCAATTTGCTAAAAGATACGGAGTACTTTTTTTAGAAGGCTGGACTGTTTACTGATTTAGACATTGTCATTACATTTACATGTATTCATTTTGCAGATGCTTTTGTTCAAAGCGACAAATGAGGTGCAATCATCTTTTTTTTTTGTATCAAATATGCACTGTTCAAAATCTACTCATGCAGACACTAATAAAAGCTGGTAGCCTGACCTTCCAATGATCATTTATTTTAAATTTTTTATATGGAGCCTCCAATTGTTTGACTGAGAGCAGGAGAGTAGGAACAGGAAGTGACACCCTAAGCTACTACTGTTGCAGGCAGTGGTGTACTTCCGCTTTGTGCTGGCAGTTGGATCTGATCAGGTGGAGCCAGTGTAAGAGGGGAGAGAGATAGAGATAGAGAGAGAGAGAGAGAGAGCGAGCAACAGATGGCCAGGGGATTACTGCCACAATCTCTAAGCACTCTCTCAGTCTCACTCTGCCTCTTTCTCTCATAATTCCACTACTCTGCTGCTCGCTACACTCAACCACTCTGCTTGCATTGCTACAATCTTTAGTCCTGCACGGCCTCTATTTCTGTTCCTTTGTTAAAATTACTTTTTTTCTAATTCCTCGTCACCTACCCATTCTCCTGCAGAGCACAACGTCCACCGAGCAGACTCAAAAACAAATGGTGTCAATGCAGTTGTTTCTGCTCCATCACCGTTTTCAATTGAGTAAAAGTAAAATAAATTTGACCGTGTGTCAACAGAGGAGTCTGCATACAAAGGACGCGATGATGCACGAAACAAGCTCAACATCCTGTGTGGTCACTGTTCAGTTGGCAATAAAAAAAAAAAACGAGGTACCAATGAAGGAAGCATGGAACCACTTCACCAGGAGCCAAGTAGCTTCTAAGTGACAATTAGTGCTACAACAATCCGTTGATTAATTGGTTGATCAACTGAAAGTTAATCCAAAACAAAAAGTGACAAAATGACAAAAAGTTCTCATTTCTGTTTCTCAGGTATTTGTTGCTTTACTACTGATATTAAAGTGCCAGCCTAACACATTAGTCACATATATGTAATGTAACACAAATCTAACTATTTACAAAATGTAATGTCCCACATCCATCAACACCCTCCAGCACAGTTTGGTTATTCTCTGCCTCTTCATATTCCAACAACAGCCTCCAGGACACTGGTCAGTCTGAGCAGATTAAAGTCTATCAGCTTCCCTCCATCAAAGCACTGTACACTGGCTGATGGACAGCAAAGGAAATACCGCCATCAACCCTGTCCGCAACCACTTCCCTCATAAAGTTGCTCAGAGACCACATGAGTCTCTTAAGACCAAGACCAACAGTTCCAACAAAAGCTTCCTTCCGATAGCTGTGTATTAGCTCTTACTTCGCCTTCCAGCCTCTTTCTGGAAAACCAAAGAAACCAAAGACGATCCCGTCACTACAGAGATCACGTGTCTGGAACAGTATCTTTACGCTTCCAGTACTTTCAGTATCATTGGGTCCATGTGAGCCATGTGTCCACTTAGCCCTGTTCTGATACACCGCAGGAGTCCCCCACCCCACCCACTCACCCAAATGTCCACTTGTAAGGGCAACCACTTAGCTGTTGTGTAAAGACATCGCCATGGAGATGGAGCTTCTCGACTGGCAATCAATAAGCAACATTGCCAAGCTGTGCTATCAGGGGATGAGTCACAACATCCGCTAATCACGTAACCCCCGCCCAAGCATCCTTTCTCCTTTCATCTATGAGCTGCATAACTCCTACACGTTTTCATTTGCCATAACTCTGATCAATAGATTGACAATGTGTGAGCTCTACAGTGAAAGGCCCCATTTTGTACAATAACTATTAACATCCAGAGCCACTGGGCTGAACTTTGTGAATTAAGTGGTACAAAAATGACTCGCCTCTTTGTGACCTTTTCCCTACGAGGTGCTTTTTTTCTCTTTCCCAGCTTGGTGTATTGATGTCCGGATCACTTCTGAGGCTCATTGTTTCCAGGTTTTACACAAAAATGCCTAGATTTATTTTTATTTTAGAAGGAGCAGGCAGTTTTAAACTGGTTTCCTTACATTTCATGGATCCAAAAGATGTTGTGCTTCCTGCTGCCAAGAGGACGCTGACCACCACAGTTTCTTTTTGTGATATGTGTGATGATGACGTGATGAAGACTGACGTGACGTAATGACGTGATGATCTGACTTTGCCCATATTTAACAGTGTGTCAAAAGTGATTTTTGTGCCACATGTGGTTGGGTCAGTCTTCATTTAACTTTCATATCTAAACCAAGGTTTCCCATAATGTTTTATAGTGGAGGCACCACGCCTATCTTAAAATAAAGATATTAATGATTTAAAAATATTTTTACAAAATATAATATTAGACGTGCAAAGTTTCACGAGCCGTGACAATCTGCAAGTCAGACAGCAGGAAGAAGTTGGTTTGATAATCACCAGTTTTACAAGCATTTATTCTAACTACTGTAATCTTTATGTGTTGTGATGGCACAATTTTTTTTTTAAAAAATGGTACAGATTAGCATTTTGCCACTTGTTACCTGTAAACACAACTTGAAAGCTGCAACGATATGCCAATTAAAAAATGAGTCTAATCAACTGTTTTTGATAATAGATTCACTGTTTTAAATTATTTTTATGAAAAAAATTGTAGCTTGTAGCTTTTTTACTTTGAATATTTTTCATGGTATCTTCATCTTCAATGATTGTAAACTGAAAATCTTTGGGCTTTGGAAAGTCTGTCAGACAAAACAAGATCATCTTTAATTTTTCATAATTTTTTTTTTTTTTTCTTCTGACATTTAAGCTACTTGGCCACCAATTAAATGACTCACTGAAGTAGCCAGAAAGCTTGCAATGCAAACTTACTACAAGCAGCATAAGGGCGGGTTATCAATGATTTTAGCAGCAGGTTTTGGGGGATTACGCACCCACTGCCAAAAAGATTTGCTGCACAAAACAACCAGCGCATTCAGAAATCAGAAACACAGGCGGAAGGAATATATAGACACAGACACACAACCCAGAAGCACTATGACTGAGCAAAATACCTCTAGGATAGGCTAATATGACTACCAAAGATGAGGGTTGTGACAGTCACTCCTCAACAGAGACTTTGATAACATTTGGAAAGGTATTAAAGAGACTTAAGATCATGACAGAAGGCGTTTGCTTGATTGTGTAATCAGGTCCTAGTGGAAGGATCTGAAGGATATTTGAACAGAAGTTGGTGGATCTGAGATGACACAGGATGCCTGAAATCCCGACTGTCTTTACCATCAAAGAATTTACTTAAATTAAAAAAAAAAAAGGCGGGAGGGGGGGGGGGGCAGAGAACTCTCAGTACTTTGGTCATACATCCCAGGCTTTAAAGACCTAATAAAAATGTCTAAAAAAATACATCTTGGTGCTTTAGACATTCAAATAATTAGACACAACAATCACGCCGCATGATGGGTGATGGGATGGAAAACAACTAGAGAGGGGAAAACACTTTACTCTCCGTTTTAAGACAACAAAAAAAGTTGTAAACCCTACTGTAGCTTTAGTTGCAGTTTCAACTTGAAGTCCACTCTGAGCCCAAAAGCAAACAAAAGTTTAAAGCTCACTTTTTGACCCAAATGCTCGATGATATTTCACGCATCATATCTGTAAAGGACAACATCAATTTGGCACAGAGCCACCGAGGAGTCGTATGGTAATCAAACTACTACTGGAAAGGGGACTATAGATTAGAGATGGGACTTAAAGGTATAAAGACAGTTATTATGTTATTTATAGCACTGGACTTTCTTTGATAAATGAGCACACAACTTATTCATTTGAAATAACGCCTGAAATGTTCTTTCTTTGATTCAGTATTTTAATGTTGAATTTTTATGATCATGTCCTGTCTACATTTATCAGGGAGAGCACAACTGGATGGATATATGTTGCCAATGCTTCACTTAACCACATAAAGTAGCCTAATAATCAATTTTTTCCCCAATTTTCAGTAACAGATACCAAAAACTTTTACTCGATCATCATCTTGTGCCTTAAAAAGTCTTTTATTGTAAACAAGCCTTAGTTGATGCCCTGTTTAAAATCTTTATATGAAGCACTGTTTAAAAAGAAAGTATGTGATTAAAAGCTTTGGTTTGAGCTTGAAGCATGTTTCTCTCTCTCTCTCTCTCTCTCTCTCTCTCTCTCTTTTCCCTCCTGGCAGCACAGGACCAAATTGCTGGACATTGGTCTTGTTGTCACAGAATTGGGTATTGCATAATGTGCTTTGCCTCTGTGAAGGATGCTGTAGCAGAGAAGGATTCTCTAACATTGTGTATGTGTGTGTGTGTGTGTGTGTGTGTGTGTGTGTGTGTGTGTGTGTGTGTGTGTGTCTGCATGCGTGCATGTGTGTTAAACCAATCTGATGTTGATTTGCTTGAGTATAATTTTAGGTTTTTAAACGTGTCTGTCACTGTAACGTTGGTAAAGCGCTCCTAAAAGATTTACATTTAATTTAATTTACCTTTATTATTGAGGATAGAAAAGTTACCCGTCTACAAAACAAACATTTTATTCGATTGTGGATCCCTGTATAATAAAAAAGTCTACCTATACACCACCAATGTTGGACAGATATCAGTGAGGGGATAGCAAAAGCTGAAAAAGACAGTTATTTTGTCATCCACTGAATTTAACAGCAAGGATCCCAGAGACCCATATGCCATGCCCCTGCACCAATTTGAGCTCTGTACCAGGGTACTGACATTACTCACAAATCTAATAACCCTTCATTTTATATATATTATTAATCAGTTTGTCAGTTGTCTTCCAATTTAGGCCTGTAATGGGAACTGGGATCATCCTGAAGTGACTTTAGATTATGCCCACAGCTAGTATTTGTTCATATTTCTTGTAATATCTCAAAGTCAATATAAACCAGCAAATGGTGGCTCTGTGAAGCTAAAACAGCTGGTCTGATGCGGGTGCATTGCTCCAATAAAATAGCTCCAACATGCCATATCCTAGTTAGGAACACAACTTCAAGTCTGTCTCTTGTTTTTCATTATCCTCCTTTTGAAGAGGCTGGGTTTTTTAACGTAAAATCACGTCAGGACAAATGCACAAGCTACTTTTCTATCATTGTGACTGCCTGAGGAGGGAGGGGGTGCATATTGCTAGAAAACTTGTTCTGTAAGATTTCATTGACATTATCAGATTGAATCCAACAAACTGAGATTTGACCTGTTAAACTAACGTTTAATGTCGTTTCACATCGTGTAAAGAAATAAAAAAAACAGACTAAAACTTACCTCTGACACACAGTAACGACATGGCAAAGCGCTTCCAGCGAAAATCCAATACTTTCACACAGTTTGTAAAGCAGGCTCTCAGCGGAGATTTACTCCGTCCGGTTACATTATAACGTCCGTTAAATTACTTTAATCAATCGCTGATAAACTCTTCGTCGATGTTTACAGGTGGTTTTCTGATGCCGGACATGGGCAGAGAGCGGCAGCCCCCCGCCGCGGCCACGCCATTATTGTAACTCTCATCACAGGCTTTCAGACTGACCGACAACCTGAGGGCAGTGACAGAGGGGAAAGGCAGAGGCGAGGCACCTGTCACTGTCGTTTGATCTGTCCAATCAAAACGCGGTGCTGCGCTAAAGGGAGGAGTTACTGAAAGTAAACCGGCCAATCGCTGAGAGGGACAGGTTGGCGGATGAAACAGGTGACGCAGACAGATCCAAAGCGGACTTAAACACCTAGAACTTTTTGTAAGAGCGAGACTTGGAGTTGTTTTTTCATTTTTTCATTACTTTTTGTTAGGATAACTGTCCTTTTTACTCTTTTTTTCTCTTGTGGCTTTATAATTGGTCTCCTTTATTCAAACGTAAACATATGTTTTTTTTCCAGACAAAATGTAGGCCTATTTCTAGAAGTATGTGAATGGTGACTAATTTACAATTTTATGGTTTTTGATTATCCATAGTGTATCTGCAACATACTACATCACTGATTTCTTAGTTTCTCAATTATTATTATTTATCAGCTAATAATTATTTTAATTTGTTTATAGTTATTTTAATTAAGCTGACACATAAGTGTCCGTTGAACAGCTATGACATAAACCAAGGGCCCCTAAATAACAGTAAGGTTAGAGTTATTTACATGCGAGTTTGATCTTTTCTGAAGGTATACAGGTGCAGGAGAGCTAAAACAAAACCAACATCACCACCTGGTGTATTTAGTGAGTCATTACATTGGCTCCATTTATTTAATGGTTAAGATAAAAACTTGAATAACAACGGGTATTTCAGAGCTATATAGAAGGTCCACATAATTATTAGCCTTTATCCTGTTTGTTGGTTTTGTTTGCATCAAAGTTTGTATTTGTGAGGTCTGTAGGTGGCTATCTCTAGTAGGAATTCTGCAAAAAAATATTATTAATTTGTGCAGATGTAAAATCCAAGCAAAAGGGCCATTCCATTTTCTTGAAAAAAGAGTAAAAAGTTCTATTAAATTGATGGGACCTTAGAAAAACTTGAAAATTTCATAATTTTATTTTTGCGATTTGTTGTATGTGTATTCTAAGCCTCACCAATCACTTATTTTTCGCTGAATTACGGAACATCAAGAAATCATAAGCCTTTACAACATGTTTTCGTGTAAATAGTTAATGATTGTTTTCGAGTAATCAAATTGATGAAATAAAATAATTTTTTACCCAAAAGAAGAACCGTTAATTTTTCACAATTTCACAATTAATATCTCTACTAGTTTTAAGTTTCTTGCAACCAAATTTTCATCTCTTCAGTGAATGTATATTTTTAAAAATGTTATATTACTATTTTTTCTAAAATAATAGTAATAATAATAAATAAATAAATATTTTTTGTAATTTTCACTGGCTGTAATATTACATTCAGAGTTTTCATTTCATATTTGTACTATGTTGACCTCAAGGTTTTCTGTCTCTGACACTTACTGAGCTTGTTTTTCATCGGGTTCAGGAAATTTGATACTGCTTGTAATGGCTTGTACTACTACTAGTGGTACTACTGCTGGAACTACAACTACTGAGGACACACCACATGTTTTGGCGTGGATTATATTATGATCTTGGTATGAAATATAAGCATCCTGGTTATTTGTACATGATTCCTACATAGTAGCAGTATAGCAGCAGTAGATATGATTGAGCCAGCGGAACGATAGTCGTTCGGTTCTTGTTGCTCGCACTGGCGGAGTTTTTCAGCGTTGCACCAGTGATGTAACTTTCATTTCCTGATCGGCAAGGGTCACTCACATGAGTGTAGAGTTTTGCACAGTGTCCAGTTTAAGAAGCTGAATCTTATTTTTACTATCACTTTACTGTATTTGAATGATGTTAAGAACGCTGTGTCGGGCCGGCGGGGCGCTTTTGCAGGTAAATTAAAATGTTATTATGTTATCTCCGGCTCTTTAGCTAGTTAGTTAGTGTCATTCAGCGTGCAGCAGTGTGTTAATAATCCACGAAATGTCACTCTTCATCCTGGAAGGAGTATCACGTATGAAGTTAACAAGAGAGAAACCTTTTTAGCTGACTTCTGACTGACATGTTAACTATTTGTTCTGGCAAGAAAATTAGACTATGTTTAAACTTTACAGTGTTAACGTCTACATATTACACACAATTGGATGCAGTTGCGAGCAAATCAGCTAAACCGAAAGTAAGAAACGGTACAGTACTTCAGGCATAGGTTTTGAGATATTCATGTTTTACTCATCTTAGATTTTTTTTTTTTTTAACTTATTTCAAAGATTGAGTTAGATATTTGTCAAGCTGAAATGCCAAATATCTGCTGTGTTCAACTTCCCCAGTGTGAGAATATGCTGGTTTTTGACACTGTGAATTGAATATCTTTGGATTTTCAGGCTGTAGGTAGGAGAAATTTTGCTCTGGGAAATTGTTAGTGGCATTTTGTACTGTTTCTTGACTCTTCATAAACTACTGAATGAGGAATCATTGAAAAATTAATCAACGATAAAAAATAATAGTTAGTTGCAACCTGATCTTCTTAAATTATGTACAAGGGACATTATCATTTGCAGTCAGGACTTGGGTGTGAAAACCATGTTTTAACAATAGATTCATTTATTACTGTAGAATTTATTCATCAAGCTGACTTTCTGCAAATCTGATGGCATTTATTGTTGTAATTCTGTGTCTCTGTAGCAAACCCAGCGGACTGCGCCGAGGTTGTGGGTAACACCAGCACAGCAGCGATGGGCGTCCAGCTTGCCCATGAACACTGTGATCCTGTTTGTGCCCCAACAGGAAGCCTGGGTGGTTGAGAGGATGGGTCGCTTCCACCGGATCTTAGAGCCGGTATCATCCATTATTCTCAATACCTACCAAACTCCATATACAAGTTAATTAGAAGGCATTCTTGCAAAAATAAGATATTCTCAGTTGTCTGTTTATTAGACACACCTAGCTAAAATGAATGTAGTCCAATACAACAACCCTGTAATAAATTTGCCTTCATGAAGATTATAATGTTCAATTTTTTACTGTTTTTCAGTTGTGTACTGTTTTAGAGAGGTATAGATTCAAGGATATGTTTTGTGGTGCTGCTGAACTGTATTGCATTATATGGAGAGATGATTCTGTTCTTTTGCCTTCCCTCATTAATATAAATTTGGTGGACAAAAATAATAGAAACACCTGCTGATGGAATATTGACTTATTTAAATCACAATATTACGAATTTTAGGCTGAATTTTACTTTGTTTTTCATCAACAACAAAAACCCCTTCAGCATCATGACCAAAACTCCGATATTGCAAAGTACAAAAACTCATATATTTTCTGTTTGACTTCTTCTAGGGTTTAAATTTCCTCATACCCTTACTTGACCGAATTCGCTATGTGCAAAGTCTCAAAGAGATAGTGATTGATGTCCCGGAGCAGTCTGCTGTATCTCTAGGTAAGTAACACGATGCTTCTGTCACGGGAGGATGAGAGTGATGGCAATTTCTCTTTGGGGATCATCCATCATTTTCTTGAGGAATATGCAGTTTAGCCTGAGGGACAAAATTTAATAAAAGTGTGAATTTCCTTATTTTTACAGATAATGTAACACTACAGATTGATGGAGTGCTTTACTTAAGGATCCTAGACCCTTTTAAGGTATGCTTGAAAAATGAGAACTGCTATACTCTGATAATATTGATATAAATGTTTTTTTTTTTTTTTTTAATCTCTCAGTCACTTGTGTTTGTTCCCAGGCCAGTTACGGTGTTGAGGATCCAGAATATGCTGTCACACAATTGGCACAGACCACCATGCGTTCTGAATTGGGCAAACTCACACTGGACAAAGTGTTCAGGGTAACAACAAACTACTGCTGCATCTCACATTGGCAGTGTTACTGTATTCTTAAAATAAAATGTGTGGTGGGGATTTTTGCATTTAATTTCATTATGTTTTTTTTTTTTCTTTTAAGGAGAGGGAGTCCCTAAATTCCAACATCGTCCACTCCATCAACCAAGCTTCAGATGAGTGGGGAATTCGTTGCCTCCGTTATGAAATCAAAGATATACATGTTCCACCTCGTGTCAAAGAATCCATGCAGATGCAGGTGAGGGTAATATGTTGACTCTGAAAGAACAGGTCTTTATTCTGTTTGGATTTCATTTGCAAGCCACTCTGAAATTCAGCACAATGCTGGTGAATGCTAGAGAGACCCATTAATCACAGAAAAAGTTTTAACACACACATTATATTCACTCTGTGTAGGTGGAGGCTGAGCGTAAAAAGAGAGCCACGGTGCTGGAGTCTGAGGGGACGAGGGAAGCGGCCATTAATGTCGCTGAGGGCCGTAAACAAGCTCAGATCCTGGCCTCAGAGGGAGAAAAAGCAGAGCAGATCAATCAAGCGGCTGGTAGGTGCCTTTAGTTACACAATATAGTTTTTTTTTTTTTTTTTAATCTGTGGTTTGTTTGCAGTTACTGTGCTTAGAGGGATGGCTCTTTTCTCTCATATTTGTTGCTCTAACTGAGGTTTTAAGTTGAGGTTGTTGGGCTGAAAATACTCTAATTACTGACACAATGCAGATGATTACATGGGTTATATGTCGCCAATTAAATACTTGGTTCGTTCCAGGTGAGGCCCAAGCTATCTGGGCCAAAGCTGAGGCAAAAGCAAAGGCCATCCGTCTGCTGTCAGAGGCTCTGACTGAGCAGGTGAACAGTAATTTTTGTTTTTCTAATGGGATAACCTTGCTCACAGTCTTATTTTGGTTAATTTTGATGATGTTTTTTGTGCGTTGAGCAGAATGGAAATGCAGCGGCCTCGCTAAGTGTGGCCGAGCAGTATGTGTCTGCTTTCTCGAACCTAGCCAAAGAGTCCAACACCATCCTTCTGCCCTCTAATACTGGTGACATCAGCGGAATGGTCACACAGGTATCTATACATGCATTATTATTTTTTTTTATCTTTAATAGAATTGTCCTGAAAGATATACAGTATGTTAACAGCATCTAGATGAATTATCTTTGTTGCTTTTGTTGTCGTCAGTTGTAACGTTAATGACTGTCGCCATTTTCCTGCTTCTCAGGCCATGACCATTTACAGCACGTTGGCAAAGACGAGCCCAGCAGTAGCCAAGACAGAAGCGGTGGAGGAGAAGAGTGAAGAGCTTCAGAACCAATCGGAATCAATTCAGTAGCAGTCAGAGTCAAAATGAACTCAAAGCAGTAAATGACACAGAACCAGAGGAGGCAGTTTATGTGTCAGTCGGCGGGGGCTCCAAGGCATTGCTGCGTGACTGAAGGTTCACAAAACCACATGTTTTTAAGTAAAAGGATTTGTAATCTTCACTGTTCAGTTATTGTCAGATTGGGAAATAAACACCAGCCTCCAGCCAAATATACTCATAGCAGTGAATTTAAAGGTTTTGAATAGAACCGCACTACTACATTCAATAATTTGATAATTTGACATTTGATAAAACATTCAATCATGTTTAATGTTTTCTCCTCTTTGCAACCTGTGCTCCTGGGCTGGCCCAAATATCTTTTTTCAGGTTCTGTGGGTTCATTAGTATTAATGCGGTAAACACAGTCAGCTCAGGTGAACCATCTGCTTTCAGTGTGGCTAGTTTACAGAAATCAGTGCCAGTGATCAGTGAGTTCTTCAGCTGTTTTCTGCATCTTTGGGACCAGCACCTTTTGAGTTGCTACATTCGATGGCTGGCTGGATGTCTCAGAATGGTAGGAAGTCTAGTTAAAGCGTAGTTAATTCACAATTTGGCCTGTGTTTGATTAAAACATCTCCCTGAAAAAGCTAAACCAATAGTTGCTTGAGAAATAGTCTTGAGAATGTGTAAAATGATTCAGAAATAATTCCCTCTTGATAATTAGTTAGTATACAAAGTCAGCCCTAGGAACAATTGTTCCTGTTTATAGCTATATTCACCTCTTATGTCTTATGGGTATATTTATTAAATTTCAAGGTTCTCTGCAAAGCTAACAAGTTTGTCATTTCATAGGTTTCTTTCATACTTACAACAGGTTTATGGAACATAATGCAAAATGAAATTGGCACATCTGAGTATGTGTCATTTGAGACTCTCACAAAGTGATAAAACTTCATTAGAAGGTTTAAGATGTGGTGGAAAGGGATGTTGTGAAGCACTTGTTTAAAAAAATATACAGTGATGTTACAAGACAATGGTGTGAAACGACTCATGAGAAACTACTGGACTTCTTTAAATGTAATGTGTGGAAAATGTTATGCAGAAAAAACTCCCAGCATAATAAAATAAAGTTGTTAAGTTGGTTAACTAGGTGGGTGTTTCATTAAATATATTGTATTTTTTATTATGTATTTACCACTTAAAATCACAGTGGTAATCCAGGTGTGGTACAAATATCCCAGTGTACGTTAAATGGGGCATGATGGAGAGAAACAAAATGCCAGATTTCATACTATCATTTGACAAGAGTACACTAAATGTAGCTTAAAATGATTAAAGAACCTATAACCATAATGGACATGGGACAGACTTCACATAGAATCTACTTACTGTTTGCTTATTTAACAAAAAATCTTTAGATTTTTTTGAATGAGTTTTTGTGTTCTTGAAATACTGACAGAGTGACACATCTTTGCTTCCTCCCTCCCTTTGCAATGTTTTTGAGCCCTCTACTTTGCCTTACAGACATAAATATCTGAGGTGTGTAGTTTCATTTGCATTGGACTTTATTGCTTCGTAATTATCACAAATACTGAAGGTTTTTCAGTAACATTGGCAAAACTTCATTCATTTACATTACTGATTTAAATATCAGAAGTATAAAAACGTATATTCATGCAAACTATTTAACCACGGATAAAACGTTCAATTCTTGCCCACCCGTTCTTCCTTTAATTTCTTAATTTTTAAGGATTTATAGACCTCATATGTGATTTGGTTTAGCCAAAGAAGAAAAAATACTATTTCTGCGATTATATTGTTATTGATGTTTATATTTTTCTATCCAACGACTGAGAACAATTTGTGCCTGAATACCGAGTTCAGGGAAGCAAGTTCTAAAAATATTGCCGTGTTACGAAGAAAACCGTCCGCCGTGAATTTCCGCCGGGTTCCATGCCCACTCAAGTTCCTAGCCGTCACCAGCCATCTAATCTCATTGTACCGGAGTCCCAATGAAGGTGAGGGTGGTGTCACGTCGTTCTCTGTTTACCTGACATACCTGTGCCCCTGTGTTGTTAACACACACACACATTCACGTCCACCCTGCGGCCGAGAGAGGACGAAAACCACACTGTACAAGGTCAGTGACAAGAACGAGGCGACCTAGCCGCGGCTAACAGCGTTAACTTAGTAACGTTAACCGTGCCCTCATCTTAACGTTAGCTAGTTAATATTACCTGTCACGTCTGAACACCGCGTGCCGTGTTTACTGGTTTAGGTGAAACTTGAGGTCTCTGTGAAGTTACACGTTGCCAGCATTAGCATCTTGTGTAGCAGGTGACACTAACAGACCCACTGTTCCCTTGACTTTTTTACCTTGGTGTGGAACAAGTGTGCCTGAATTTCACCTGTGCTGCTGTGTGTTTAGGATGAAGGGGCTCCCAGTGCTGTCCCTGCTCCTCTGCATATGCGCCATGTACTTTGTGGGCATTTACCTGTTCGTGGGTGGGTTCCTGCTGGTGAGGCTGGAGGTGAACAGGACCAGCACCTGCGGAGACGTACTGCAGCCCGGAGAGGAGCCAGTGGACTTCTGCCGCGTCCAGCCTCGTTTCCGCAGGGCTGTCCTCCTCATCATTGACGCCCTGAAGATCGACTTCGCCCGTTTTGACCCCAACAACACGACGCCCCGACCATACGAGAATAAGCTGCCTGTGCTGGAGGAGACAGCCTCATCCAGGCCTTCTCACAGCCGCCTGTACCCCTTCCGTGCTGACCCGCCTACAACCACCATGCAGAGAATCAAGGGCTTCACCACTGGCTCCTTGCCCACGTTTGTGGATGTAGGTAATAACTTTGCGTCCAGCGCCATCTTGGAGGACAATCTCATCCACCAGTTTGTTCAAGTAGGTGAGTAATTACACAGGTGTATACGTATAAAACGGTATAAGACAGTCATGCATGACAGATCATATTATTTGCAGAACTGAGGAGGAAAGTGGGTTTTCAAAGAGCTTTATTGACAGCTAAGGTGAAACAGTGTCTATCAGTTCTCAGTGTGTGTTGAAAACTGCTGCTGTACTGTGTCTTTCAAGCATTTCAACCGTCTAGCTACAAAACAATGAATGACTTTGGGACAAGTGTTGCCAGAACAGCTGTTGTATAAACTCTTTTGGGTTCTGGGTGAGTTACCAGAGCACAGAGCAATCCAGGGCTCAGGAAAAGAGTAAAAGGGGAATAATAAACCACTGTTGCACTCACAAGAGAATCTGTTATGACAGCGGTGCTAGTATATTGGTAATATATCACAAAAGTCTGATATATCACAATACTGACCAAATCAAACTGAAAATAAGACATAGAACTTTAAAATAGAAGAGTTTAGATTTTTTCTAGTCTAGAAATCTAGAAATACTGGAGGTGTCATCTCACATTTTATGTGAAATATGCATGTAGTGAGTCTTATGGCCACACAGATGTGTTTTTTTAAATTGCATTTGTCACATGCTTTGCCAAGTTTTATAACTTAAGTGAAAATGTCATGGAAAAACCTAATGGCACTGTCTGATTTTGTTCATTTTAAATGTGTGTATCCCAACACAGGCAAGCGAGTGGTGTTTATGGGCGATGACACTTGGGAGAATCTTTTTCCTAAGAAGTTCTACCGCTCTCTGCCCTTCCCTTCTTTCAATGTCAAGGATCTGCATACAGTGGACAATGGGATCCTCCAGCACCTCTACACCACCAGTATGTATTATTTAATATGCTTTTATGGAACTATAAGAACATACATTTTACACCTGCCCGGAGAGCTATGCAATACCATAAGCACCTGGCATGTTAATGATATGTAAAGTACAGTTACACAATTTGGTGCCCTTTTGTTTTCATTGTTATTTTATTGTAATCAACTAAATTATTGCTGAGATGTAAAAAAAAAAAAAAAAAAAAAATGTTGCACATTGTCACACCCCAGTGGTAATGTCAAAAAACTGTCAGACAACAATTTTGGCAGCCCTGAGGCAAACAGTCTTAGGACTAGAGGCATTTCTTATTTATGGAAGACTGTGGCCAAGCCTGTATTGTGTTTGCACTTCATGTCTCTCCATCTGTCCCTTTGTGTTGGTTCTGACAGTGATGGGTGGTGATTGGGATGTCCTGGTGGCTCATTTCCTTGGAGTGGATCACTGTGGCCACAGGTTTGGTCCCGACCACCCGGCCATGGCTGACAAGCTCACCCAGATGGATGGGGTCATCAGGTGAGACAACAGTACAGCTGCTACCAGCTTGTTTGACAGTATCCTCCAGCTGCTGTCATTATCGTGTGCTGTGAGTGTTCCTGTAGTTCTACAGATAATCAGGTCACTTATAGTGACACTGATATTGTAAAATGTTGACCCAGACAGTCATGGACAGTATGGAAATAGGACTTATTATGAATGACATGAAAATAATGTCAATTCAAAGATGTAAGGAAAGGTTTTTAATATGTTAATCTTAGCTGGGATGTTTTTGAATTTAGCACTGCTGGTGAAAACAAACTATATAAAATTAAAATCAGCTGGTTTGAATTTGAGAATTCATAAATTTTTATAGAAAAAAATGGTAGGAAGTGAGATGACTGTCTTTGAATATTTCCTGAAACCATATTCATCCTTTTCCTCCAGGTCTGTGATTGACCGTCTGCAGAACGACACCCTCTTGGTGGTGATGGGAGATCATGGGATGACGGACACTGGAGATCATGGTGGAGAAAGTCAGAAGGAGACTGATGCTGCCATCTTCCTCTATAGTCCCGCCCCTCTGTTTCCCGGACCCCCATCACAGGTCAGTAAACTAGCCAACTTTTTCACAGTCAGTTTTAACTTGATCAATATAGTCATACAAAAGAATGACATTCAAAATGATTTTGTGATCATATACTCATAGCCAACCAGTCAGTCTTAAGAAAAGCCTTTGTGCATTTTAAACAAGTTTGTTGAAGTGTAGAGGCTCAGGGAAGAGTTCATTCATTATTTTAATGTGTAATGTGTATTTTAATATGTAAGGAATAGTTCAGATGAATCATTAATTGTTACTCAGCCCACACATTTAAGAGTGCTTTCCATAATGTTCTTTATACAGTATTTGCCCATGTTGTTTATATCTAATTAAAAGATATTAAGATGATAAACATTAAAAAGAAACATGGTGTAAAATGTAATTTCACATACAATGTACACACAATAAAATCATAGATCTCTTAAAAAAAAAAAAAAAAATACAAATAAGCCTGTTCTAGCCCATTCCTAATGTTAATGAAATAATTTACTGTTATTACTACTATTATAAATATGTATACAATTCAGGAATACATCGTTTCTCAAGGTTGAGAATTGAATAAATAATAAAAAGCAGAATGATAATGAAAAAAAAAATCAAAGTAGGCTGAATTGAAATGTCTTGGTTAGACTAAATTTGGTTGGTTGTCCCACTGACCTCAGATTTCTCTCTGTCTCTGTTAAAAAGCACATTCCAGTAACCAGTTAACTAAAAGTAAATGCAGAGCAGAGTGAGAGATAAGCACAAAGTGATGAAAGTTCACAGAAAAGACTCATTATATTCCATATATGCTCAGTCACAACTGGCAGCGAGAAACTTGACTCTTGAACCCTCTCACAGAACAAGAACATGCTGTCGAACAACGGCGGCATATCAGCTCAGTCCACAAATGAGCAAATAAAGAAGCAGAACAACATGAAAGATCCCGTAACTATTTGCCCTTATCTGTTTGTGTGTTTGCTTGCCTTTATTTTATCAGCAAATACACATTTACGTCATGTTTGTCTCTCCAAATCACCAAAGCGTTTGCTGTCTCACAAACATGGAGCATCACACCATTCCTTGCATGAATATTTCTGTTCATGCTCGGCTGTGCAGTTCCCTGAATCCGTTAAATTGATGCTGGCAGGTGGTCTCTGCCATTTCAGGGATAAAGACGGATCTCACACTAGACAAAGTAAACTTCAGCACTGATTTCCATAATTGCAGTGCAATTGGAGCGTTACATAATACATTGTAGAAAATTGCGCGTTACATGAGCACACAGAAAATACCACTGCTAATAATGAAAGGGGACATTATTGGGCATGACGTCCTATGAGACGCTGAGACACTCACTTACCAATCAGCTTTTCTTTTTACAAGGAGGGAGTAAATCCACCAATCTTACTGATGAATGTCACTGCAGAGGTAATTGACCACTTGAGTTAATTAAGACATTTATTCATAATCTGCTTGCAGTTAAGGGAGTACACCAACTTTGGGGAAATGAGCCATTTGTTGCTCTAAAAATATGTTGATGCTTGTTTCTGTGAATAGTAATTATAGAATAAAGACTAACCTTGACCTGTTGATTTTTATTTTCTGAAAACAAAATTTCAGTTATCTTCCTTTGCTGTTGAAAGTGAATTCTGTTTTGTGATTATTTTATGCATATTTTACTGGTGCTCTAACTAGGTCTGGTAACAAGCAGGACTACAAGAACTTTGCTAAAAGAATTTAGTGTAAAAATGCCAACGTTTTAATATTAATCTGCAACTGTCTGATCAAAGAATAAGGAAACAAAGTCACAAATCTGACCAAACATTTAATTCCATATTTTTGGACTTGACAGTTTCTTTGATACCAAACCTTATTCTAAACAAGCATGGCAAATTGAAATACTTACTAATTACATTTAACTGATCTCCTAGCCTCCTTTTCTTAGTTTATGTTAATGTGCCTCTCTAAAGGTTTACCACACACTGGGTAGAGCTGTCTACCAGAGACAGGGTTTTTTTTGTGCAAATCTTCTCATTGCATATCAGACATCTCAGAGCATCAGAGCAGCTCCTTTTAAGTCACACATGAAAAATTGTGCAAATTTCTCATTACACTGCAGCCTTTTGAAACACAGATAAATGCAGTAGTACACTGACATGGCAGGCTTTTATTTTCTCATGTTTGTAGAGTGAACAGGATGTGGTGCCCCAGACTGACCTGGTGCCCACCCTGGCTCTGCTGCTGGGAGTTCCCATCCCGTACAGCAGCGTCGGGCAGGTTCTCTTGCCTTTATTCCCTCCCCATGGGCAGACGGAAGGTGCAGTTGGAGGTCTCAGCCAGCTGGAGGCACTGTGGATCAATGCAAAACAGGTAGTCTGCTCAGTTAGGAGTGTTTCCATACAGAAAAAAAAAACTTCAGACTTCACATATCCTGCAGCATGTTCTGTAATTGTGGGTTTTAGGTGTTTTTGATTTCACCTCATGTCACCGTTGTGTTTCTGAAGGTAAACCGTTTCCTGGAGACTTACTCTGGCATGGCCAAAGACATCCCACCAGAGAGCCTCTCTCAGCTGAAGGATGAATTCACCCGTCTCTCCTATGAGTACCTTACCACAATTAGAGAGGGTCGGTCACCCTCCCCAGAGCTGGCTGCCTCACTGCAGGCCTACCTCACCTCTGTCAGAGACACCTGCCGAGCTACCTGGGCTCGATTCAACCCTTTCAAGATGGCAGCAGGTTTAGCCATCCTGGCGTTTGCCTGCTTGATGTGTTTCATCCTGTCTGAGCTGTCCGTTGTGCTGATCAGGGAGAATGGTCCTGGACTGAAGGCTCCGGTTGCCGTGGCACTAACAGCGGGGGGTTGCACGGTTGCGGGTCAGTTGCTCACGCAGGGCTACATCGAGGTAGCTTGGTGCCTGGCAGCTGCTGCCCTCAGCTCTGAACTTCTCTTGCTCTGGACAGCTTGTCGATCTAGACCCACTGCAGTGGCGAAGAATGGATCTAAAGCTCCAAAGTGTTCGCGCTGGCTGACCCCACGTCATCTCTTCATTCCCCCTCTTGTGGTTCCACTTCTCCGTTGTGCCTCCCTGCTCTCAGATAGCTACGTGATTGCTGAAGGCCGGGTAGTGACCTTTCTCATGTTCTCTCTGGCTCTCTATATTCCTATCCATCTCAACTGGGATGGCCTACTTCTACCCCCCAGCCATGACCCTCTGAAGTCAGCTGGGCTTCTGCCTTCCCCAGCCCTGTCTCCATCGACTGTGAGGAAAGAAAGCAGCACCCTGCTGACCTGTGTAGGACTCCTTGTTGGCAGCCTCTACCTCTCCCTGTCCTTTCACGGCTGTCGGGAAGAGCAGGGCTCCTGTCAGCCATCGCCGTTCCTTTCTCCTCTCTCCCGGTTGCAGGACAGCCAACTGAAGAACATCCACTACATCCTCTCTATCTTCTCCCTGGGCTTGTGGACATATCTACTGAGACGTTGCCTCCGTCACTATGGTAACCTCAACTCCTCAGGTGGGACAGTGTTCACAGCCCGCTGGATCTTACCACTGCTGTCTGTCTGCCTGGGGCTCCACTGGGCTGTTAGTGCCACTCCGGAGGACAGCTTCAGGAATCTGGCCGAGCTGATCAGCCTGGCCCAGCTGGCCCTCCCCAGGGCCGCCTTCTGTCTCTTGGGGCTGGGGCTGTTTCTGATCTGGCTAGACCCTCTCACTGTGTTTGTGAAGACCAGGGCTGCAGCTACAGCCAGAGGTTCTTCCCTACCCCCGCCCCGCTACCGAGCCAGCACCGGCATCAGCCCCCAAGCCGAACTGCACCACCTCATCCCCCAGATCTACCAGCGCATGCGTCGTTCCCTGGACGACGGAGAGCTGAGCAGGGGCAGCGAGGTGGACAGCGGGCCTGCAGTGGAGGCCTACGGGCTTGGAACTGTATACTCTGCCCCGTTGCTGCTGTTCTGCGGCCTGCTGGGAATTGGTTTGCTGCTGCTGCACCCAGAGGGCATGTCTCTGTCTTTCCTTCTGCTGCTGCTAGAAATGGGAGCCCTGTTACACATTCAGGCCTCCTCCACTACCCTCAGTGGCCTACATGGGACATATACTGGTAAGATATTCAAAATCACACATCTTTTGTTTTGCGCATCCTTTGCCTCTTTTTCAGTCACAACAGTTATTAGTATTGACATGCTCCTTGTTCTTTAACCCATTACTCATTGTTTCCTCAGGTGGCTTTAATGTGCCCTGGACTCCAATAGTGATGTGGTCCCTGGCTGCCACCCAGTTCTTCCATGCCACAGGTCACCTTCCCACCTTCCCCTCCATCCAGTGGGGCGCTGCCTTTGTGGGATTCCCTGATGGACACACAGGCACCATACTGCCCGCCTCACTGGTTACCCTCAACACATTTGCTTCACACATCCTGTTTGCAGGTAGTTTACCAGACAAATGACAAAAAAAAGCTGCTAGTGAGTTTAATACAATTCATCAATCATGATCTTTTATTAAGTGGATGATGGAAATAGGAAAAGATGGTTGCATCTGCAAAAGTAAAAGGATTCTGCTGGGACATAAGACAAAGTGCAATACAACACAGAACTAGAATACAAATGTTTAAAACTAACTTTAAATTTAATTAAAAAACAAATAAAAACATGATGTTCTTAAAGTGTATTGCGCTCAGTTCTGGCAACAGTTTCAACACAATTTTCAGTTCTTAAAGTAAAATTTGTCCCCAAGAAAGTAATGTAGCTGTGTGCTTTGACTTTTAATCCATTCAAAGTACCAAAGTTAAAATGCCTTTATTATTGTGGCTACTTATTAAAAATAAAACCAATGCATACTTGTTATTTATTGAAAAAAAAAAATGATAATAATAGCCTGTCAGTATAAATTTAACTGATTTACAGATAAAAATTTCACTTTCAACTTCATGTTATAGAACATTTAAATTTCTTTTTGGTGTAGTTGAAATCATAAAAAATGTCATCGTGGGTTAACATTTTGTCTCAATACGAGTGTCGTAATATGTCCCTCTGTGTCCATGTCTGATTGTCGTCAGTGGGTTGTCCCTTGCTACTGTTCTGGCCCCTGGTGTGCGAGGTACGTGGCAGCAGAGGAGGAAGAGCTTGTGGGGAAGAAGGCGAGGACGCTGTGATGGAGATGAGACTGAGAGAAAACCCCCAGCAGTTCAGTTCTGCTCTCCTACAACTCTCAACACGCTACCTCTTTATTCACGGAGCACAGGTGCGACCATAGACCAAGAGATGTCTCAGGCTGTGTAATTAAACACATTGTAGTGGCACAATTATCATCTGTTATTGTTTGTTTGGTCATCAAATTAAAATGTCTAGTTCAAATTATCAATCTATGAGTTGGGACAAAGTCACATTTTTCTGTGATGTTCAATTTTTATTGTATTGTATTGGTTTTTTTTTTTTTTTATGTCTTTGGCTCAGTTCCACTCTTTCAATGTGTATCACATCACATCACATCACATCACAGCACTCAGTTCTTCTGCTCTATCACAGGTCTTTGCTTCAGTCTGTGCAGCTGCTATCCTCAGGAGACACCTAATGGTGTGGAAGGTTTTCGCACCCAAGTAAGTGCCTGAATGGATTTTCCATCTCACACAAACTCACTGAGGATATGAACGCAGTATAACTCACAGTTCAGTGAATTTACATTGGTGAATACAGGACTTTTACAATGTGGAATATACATCCGGAATTCTTATCTTTTTTTAAACGTTATTGTGCTTGTTTTTTTCCAGTTGCGTGAATACTGATATAGATTATTTCCAAACAATTTTAATTCTGAAAAATATTTGCTGCTAGTATTGTGTCACTTTTTTTTGAAATATACAGATTTCAAAGGGTTTTTTTCTCCTTCCAGGTTAATGTTTGAGGCCTCAGGGTTCCTGGTGAGCAGCGTGTCTCTGCTGATCGGGGTCACATTAGTGTTGAGAGTAGACGTAGCCGTGGGCCGCTGGTTTAAGAGAATCATCCCTGATGCATCCAGGTAGCGACGGCACTGGTGCTGCTGCTGCTGCTTTATCACAGACGCCCACCTGAGCTCACCGTGCCACAGAGAAAAACGGACATGGTGGTCACTGTAAAGTTTTTATATGGAAACATTGCCATTGGTGTCTAACATAAGGATCCCCACAAACATGTCATGTGAGGTCGCCTCTTACTGTAACTCTCTTGAGGGCTATGTTACTGACACTGAGGCCTGCCTCGTTTTCAGCCAGAAGGACTTTAGGACATCAAATGTTGGACTGAACGAACTCTGAGCATCTGGACACTTTTTTTTTCTTCCATTTTTTTTTTTTGATAGTGTTTTTGGATAAAGGTTGTAAAGCACCGCACAAATATGAAGGGGGTTAAAGGCCTTTGAGGTCCAGAGTTGTATGTGATTAGGGAGAAAATAGTAGTTACTGAATGTTTCTCCTAAACTCCTGTTTTCTAACTTGATGGATGAAACCTTCCAAGCTCAACAAGCCACACAGTCTTGCAAGTGGTTCATAGTGAAGCAGTTAAAAAGCTTCACTAAATACATACAGTTTACACAAGCTACAGGCCTGTCACAGCTGGCTAATAACCTCAGTATTGAAACAAAATTGGCCTTTTAGTATCTGGGGTTTTTTTTCCCCCACCTCATAACTGAGACTGATGTTACACTTATGTGCAACAGAGTGGCCAAACTGACGGTTGAATGTGATATAAAAAGCAGCTATGGAAGGAAGGCTTTGACAATTAAATTAAGCTGACTGTTTTCCCACAGTGACATAGAACTAATGAGCAGGTGAAGGTTCAGCGTCTCACTGCAGAAACTGAACCCAACGTCTGGAGCTACTTTATTATCATTTCGTAAAAGCAGGTCAACTCCATTTGACGAGATCCATCCAAGTGCATTACAGCATGTCATTTAAGTGTCTGCTGGAGGACGTTTTCCTTTTTTTTTTATGTTTTGTATTTTCAAGATGTTGAAATACCCAGTGCATCTGATTACTGCCAATTCATACTTTATTACTGTGCTGTTTTTTTTTTTTTTTTTTTTTTTTTTACAGTTTCTGGTACTTAATCTCTCATGGTCTTTTATTTTTTCTGATTCCTAACTCTAATGTCTATTTATAATTAAGATTTTTTAAATCACTGATTTTTCATTTTCTAATCTCAAATGAAACTATTGTCTTAATTGGGCCTCATTCACCTTGTCCCTGGAATAGGTGCCTAGCTTTAAGAAATGCCTTTTTTCGTGTATGATGTCATTAATTTAGCAGGGCCATTAAATCCAGGACCTCCAGAAACACTGTCAGTGAATTTATTTCTACAGGACATCTGAGTCAGTCTCCGGTGTAAGATCTGTTACTGTTCTGCAGCTGTAGTCAGCAGCTAAAGCTCATTAGCTAATGCATGGTATTGAATGGGATGTTGAGCTCAGGTTGAATTAGCTATAATGCAATAGTACTGCATTCCTCAGGCAGTTATAAAAGGAGTGATTGGTCATGTAGAGCGACTGCTGTAGTGACCTCAGCTCAAGTGATGGTTTGGCTTGGTTGTGTGATAACGGGGCACTTTTTTTTTTTTTTCTGTTTTTAAAATGTTTAATATATAAATAACTGATTAATTCAAATGATTTTACAATCTGTGAAAAATGTAATAAAACTTTTGTACATGACATCTCTGCCTCACAGTAATTTAAATATACAGATTAAATTTATTCCCTATTATTATTTATGATCACGCATGTTTCAACTTTGAGATTATTTATCGCCATGCAAACTAATGTTCATTGATCCAGTGACTTGATGAAGGAAGTGGGTGCTGCCATGAGTTTTCTTTCTACCCATCATTCAAGGTGCTTCATTCATTATTCACGGAGGCTTTCCACATTTCCATTTCATATAATTCAGAGTTGCTGAAAGTCTCACTTGTACACAAATGTTTGACAGGAAATTATCTAACTTCCACCAGCTCACCTTCATATCTGTACTTGTGGCTCATTCTACACTTTAAAAACATTCTTTAAAAACAAATTCCCTGATAAATGGATTGATCGTGGACACAGCACATAAACTGGACAGGGTTGAGAATGTGGAAATTAAAGGAACTCCATGAATGACCGTGGAACTGCAGCCACACTGATATAATAGCAATGATAATAAAATAAGCATATAAATTCAACAATATTGAATTAATATTGAAATGTCAATTTTCACATCTTGTAGTTACAATTTATGCCAGAAGGGTGGACCAGAGCATTGTTCCAATGACTAAACTCTTCAATATTGAAGAAACCTTAAAACTGATTTCTGCCCTGGCAAATGATTATTGCAATAATTAATGTGTTACTGTCAGATAAAATTGTGTCATTTGAACAAACTTGCATATGAATGAGGTGAGAAATCCTAATTTTCTGCTGGAAGATATTCACAATTTTTGGACCTTTTTTTTTTTGGACTCACATTCACTCACATTTTGGAATGAAAGTTCTGTCATAGTCAATGGGGAAAGCTGATCGCGAAGCAATTTAAATGGCTGCTGACAGGCTTGACTGCACAAAGAATTCATTATCCAGGCATTCCTGTTGAACAATGGGTACAGTTCTTGCAGTGCTGTGATAATGAAACTACTGCAATAATTCAAAAAGCTAAAGCTTTATATATATATAGAAACACATGCAATAGAAAAAGAAATGTAGGAACAAATTGCTTCAGCCTTGTTCAACATATGAACTCTCAGGTTGTATTTCAACAGAAAGACACTTTTTAAAACAGCCATTCTTTTTCTTACAACTCCATGCATCATACTTTGTTATATAATGTCACTATTGTTTTGTCACATAAAACTGAGGTCACTGGTTTATTGGATACAATGCTAGTTTAAATTTGTGTTGAGTATATAAAAAAAAAGAAAAATAGGATATTTAATTAGCATGAAGACTTGCCACTAAAATGATCAATATACCAACAAATGGTTCTAGCCATAAAAACAATAAAAACATCACAGTAACATCCAGGAAAACACTGCTGCTGTTTTTTTGAAGCTTTGGATCTCTTATTTTGGATGTGAAGCACCATTATGACACTGAAGCTGCCAAGCTTTCATTCTAAGCATCAGTATAATTGCCCATCATTACCAGATGAACAGCCCTTTGGACAACAATCCCCACATTTCAGCTTGCATCAACTATTGAAGTCAGCCCAATTTGTGTCACGGGGATGGAAAATGATTCTGCTGCCCTCTGATATTTGTGCTCGGGGTTCAATGAGAAAGACCTGATCTTTCCACAGGGGATCCAATTTAAAATTGTTTTGATGATAGCCATCAGCTCTTTCTGCCCCTCCGGTGAGGCTGAATAGTATGCAGACCTTCTGGACTTTCTGGAGTGAATTTATGAGCATTTTCAGCCATTATCACTAAATAAGGCTCAGTTAGCGAATCTGTACAGGCAAACTTTGAGTCCACAAACTTGGCCTCTGAAAAATGCCAGTGAGGTTAGCTGGGGTAAAAGTGAACAACCTGTTTCATAAAAAGAGGCTCTAATCAGATTCCCCCCCCGTACAATGCTAGTTTAAATTTGTGTTGAGTATATAAAAAAAAGAAAAATAGGATATTTAATTAGCATGAAGACTTGCCACTAAAATGATCAATATACCAACAAATGGTTCTAGCCATAAAAACAATAAAAAACATCACAGTAACATCCAGGAAAACACTGCTGCTGTTTTTTTGAAGCTTTGGATCTCTTATTTTGGATGTGAAGCACCATTATGACACTGAAGTGCCAAGCTTTCATTCTAAGCATCAGTATAATTGCCCATCATTACCAGATGAACAGCCCTTTGGACAACAATCCCACATTTCAGCTTGCATCAACTATTGAAGTCACGCCAATTTGTGTCACGGGGATGGAAAATGATTCTGCTGCCTCTGATATTTGTGCTCGGGGTTCAATGAGAAAAGACCTGATCTTTCCACAGGGGAGTCCAATTTAAAATTGTTTTGA